CACTCTCCCCATCAAGATTTACTCTTGAATCTGTGGCTGTCGGCCTTGGCTTCCCTTTTCTCGTTTTGGGGATTATTTTTATGACCAGACGATGGACACCGAAGAAATATTGGAATTCCTCCTCGGTTACTATTGTCCAGTGGCAGTAGAAGCGAAATCCCATTTATTATTGTCCACACGTTAATCTCGCATGAATGGTTGTCATGTGACTTGAGCCAAGCTCCAAGATTTGAACGACCTAAGTAATTTCCAATTTCGTTTTCCAGCCACAACCCATGCCTCTCGCTTCAATGTTTGCCCCATTACTTTGTTAGCATTGACAATTGACCTTATTACTGACCAGTTGTAATTTTGCGGATATTCTGCTCTTTTCCGTTAACATACGCATACTGACCATCGAAGATGTATACTTATTTTACATACAGGGGAACTCTTATAGCAAACTGAAGATAAAACTGGGAAAACATCGGAGAGCGGTATTCCGCGGAGAAACTACGAAATCAGGTATATCTGATCCTATATGAAGGCTTAATCGAGGGAACAACATCAGAATAATGGAGAACATTAAAGAAGAAGTTGATTAAAACAATGAGAAGACTTGTATGATTGCATTATTCAACATAGGCGAAGTGTATGTAAGTGTTGATTAAGCTTTTATTTGGGGGTTGAGAATCCGTTCCGAACTGAGTTAGATAACTTCGCGAGAAAAAGAATAGAAGCGGGTTCAAAAGAAGGAAAGAACATCATTGAATACATTGCTAGATAATTTCCTTAGAAAGTTGGTCCATTGTGTCGTGCAATTTTTCTCTCCAGAATCTATCTTACATATCTATGTCTACCATTAGTCCATACTTAAAATATTGCTGCCACATATGTCCCGATGCTCCTGCTATTTATCTGTACTGTACTTTACTGATGCGGCATTCACACTGGGCGGATTGTGCCGGCTTCTTCCTGTTATGAGAAGAAGATTCTTGGGATAAATTACAGAAGTAGGGTACCCAGGCCTACTCGGATAACGTTCTTGCTTGCCGCGGGATTCCCACAGACGCAGAGACAGGAACGACCAGAAGCCGCCGGTTACCGATGCAGACGCTCCTTGGATTTTAACCCGAGCCCTTGTTAGCCGGCGTGTGTGTCAGACCTGTCCGCCTTGGGTGGCCCTACCAGGAACGAAGTTCCGGGAGGCATAGCTCTGACACTACCGTTTACACCCCCCCACCGACTGTGAGGTAAGGGTTGGACTTTGGGGACTTACAGTACCTGGTGTTCCCAAGCGGTCCCCCATCTAAGTACTAACCTGTCTCTACGATGCTTAACTTCGGTGATCGAACGAGAACCGGTGTTTCAGCGTGATTTGACCGTAAGCTATTTATCTAGACCTCCTTCATAAGATCCAAAGAAGTATCAGCAATATTATTGGTCCTGATCAGGCGTCTCGGGTTCAGTCATGTCCCCACCGCCGTATGGTTGCCTCTCTCTGCCTTTTCTATAAATACTTTCATGGTAATTGTTCATATGAGCGATAGTACCTAAACTTTTTGGATTTAACCGCGGGACGAGACTGGTGTCTCGATCTCATCAATCTACAGTAAATCTCTACGTAAATTATATGCGATTTCTTTTCTCGCACTTCTCGCTTGTGGAACTCCCTTCTGGTTCCATGCTTTCCTGCCACCTTTAATCATAAAAAATGTAAATGCAATGACAATCACTATCTACTGTTCTCCTGATTACTCTTATTTTGATATCACTCATTAGTCATGTTTCTTTCACACTCTGTTAACCTTTGTGTCTTAGTGGCTTTACTCTCTTGCATGGGGTGAAACCGATTAAAAAAATAAAATATATATATAAAGTTTCTTTCTTACAGTAAAAAAAAGAAAAAGTAAAATAAGAACAGTCTTGTCCTGTGGATTAAATAAAGTGCTAAGATTGAAATTCCGAGAATGTTAATGAATATGACGGCGTGTAATTTTCTAGTAGTTCCTCGGTTTTCCGGTCCACTTGGGATAGTGGTTGAAAAAAATATCTTCGGATAATTGAATAGTTAAATTATTTTTTTAAAAAACCTAATTTTCTGGAAGAAAATTTAATATTTATATGTTCAAACAGCGTTTTCAATCGCTTTCTTCAAAGTTTTCCCTAGTTTGTCGATTAAAGAATGCGTTATGGTTTACCTATTTCTGGCCGGCTAGTCGTTTTTCTGGCGTTGACTTTCGAATTTGGATTAATGTAGATGTTCTTGAAAGAATCGTTTTTTGAATTCTAAGTGCAGAGAACTAGAATATTTCTCAAATCATTCTTTCGGTATTTAAATTTGAGTATTGGAGCTGTTAGGCTTCAACAAGGGCAACATTATTATCAACATCATCATTATCCTCGAAAATAGTTTCCAGTGCTTTTCTAAGGTCAACATTATTACTTATTTTATCATTAGACAGCAGGGTAATAAAGCCACTAAGACGTAAGGGGCTACTGAGTGTAAGAAAATAAAAAAATATTAAGGAGAGAGAACACTCAAAGAACAAGAATTAAGAAGATGGAAGATAATAATTAATATTACATTTAAATTTTTGAAAATAAATGTTAACTGGAAAGGAAAAAGTCAGAAGAAAGATCCACAAGCGAGTAGTGTGATAAAGAAACTGTTAGCATTGAACTTACGGTTAAATTCATAAAGTCTAGGTACCATAGAGGGAACCGTGATGCCAGGTCAGTACCAACAACATAACAGATTGTATTTTATCAAGATTTTCTGAAATCATAGCAGAAGCACTTGACCAGTTATGGGAGCATTATCTCAAAGCATGGACGAATGTTAAATTTATAAATACGTACGATGAATTCTGGCGAGAAAAATTGCCTCACACGACACAGTAAACCAAATTTCCTAGCAATAGATGAAGCAATTGATTCAATATAATATTTTCACTTTCACGCTAAAGTGGCACAAACGTTTAATTTTTTCTCAAAAGAAAACGCTGCCCTTTCGTGTCTTATTCTACGAATTCGAGGCTAGTTAAATTTCAAAGCATGTAATCTCGAATTATAAAAAGCGAGACACGGGTTGAAAAATAAAACGACAAAATGAGGAAATGTTACCGTTGATGTTCATTTCACACCCAGATAATCGATACCCGTATATCAAGGTGTGGAAAATTGAGATACGAATAATTGGAAATTTTATAGCCTAATGACCAACAATATATTTTATAGCCTAATGGTCCAACGATATATTTTATAGCCTAATGACCAACGATATATTTTATGTCCTAATGACCAATACGTTTTATAGCAGAATAACCAATAATATATTTCATAGCCTAATGACCAACGATATATTTTATAGCCTAATGACCAACGATATATTTTATAGCCTAATGACCAATATGTTTTATAGTAGAATAACCAATAATATATTTTATAGACTTATGACCAACGATATATTTTTATAGCCTAATGACAATAAGTTTTATAGTAGAATAACCAATAATATATTTTATAGCCTAATGACCAACAATATATTTTATAGCCTAAAGACCAACGATATATTTTATACCAACCAATATATTTTATAGAATAACCAATAATGACCAATATATTTTTATAGCCTATTAACGATATATTTTATGACCTAAACACGTTTTATAGTAGAATAACCAATAATATATTTTATAGCCTAATGACCAACGATATATTTTTATAGCCAATTGATCAATACGTTTTATAGTAGAATAACCAATAATATATATTATAGCCTTATGATCAACGATAAATTTTATAGCCTAATGACCAATATGTGTTATAGCCTAATGACCAATATGTGTTATAGCAGAATAACCAATAATATATATTATAGCCTAATGACCAACGATATATTTTATAGCCTAATGACCAACGATATATTTCATAGCCTATGACCAATATGTGTTATAGCAGAATAACCAATAATATATATTATAGCCTAATGACCAACAATATATTTTATAGCCTAATGACCAACAATATATTTTATGGCAGAATGTCCAACAAGATAGTGAGCGGGACAAGAGAGAGACTGCTCAAGAAAAGAGAGAGATGCGGAAGATCCTGTATGACTTTGACTGAGAGGGACAAGAGAGCGACTAGCAGAGAGATACGGAAGATCGTATATGATAATGAGTAAATAAGTGCATAATAGAGAGAGATTTGAAAGGTCGTATAAGGCAATGAGTGAGGGGCAACAAATGAAAGAATGGTGAAAGAGAGAGAGAGAGAGAGAGAGAGAGAGAGAGAGAGAAATGGAACATCATGTATGGCTATGAGTGAGAGGGACAAAAGAGAGACAACTTTAAGAAGGAGAGGAATATGGAATACCGAGTATGGAGATGAGTGAAGGGGGCAAAAGATATTGCTTAAGGAAGATGAAAGAAATTGAATGATCCTCTATGACACTAAGTAAGCGGAAACAAGAAAAAGAAATTGCTCTGGGACCCTACCAGGTGCTACCACCCCGGGTCGTATAAGGCAATGAGTGAGGGGCAACAAATGAAAGAATGCTGAAGGAAAGAAAGAAGTATGGAACATCATGTATGGCAATGAATGAGAGGGAAACAAGAGAGACAACTTAAAGCGAGAGAGAGAAATATGGAAGATCGAGTGTGGAACTGAGTGAATATGAACATTATAACGAAATAACCATCGTTATAGCAGAATACTAACAATATATTTTATCTCCAGTTGAAGTCATACAATTGCTTTCAAAATATATTTAATTAAACTCGTAAAATAATGTTCAAAATATTTAGATTTCGGCATTAAATAACCCATAAAGGTGTTGATATGCCTCTAAATAAAATCAAACCGACCAACCACCAAACATCCTAACATTTTTTTACTAACTCACATCACTTTAAATTGGTAAACCTCTTTGTAATCGGTAAGTAATATGAAACGTTCATTTCTTTTTATTATTTTTTCATAGGCTCTCACATATTTGTGGATTTCCTTTTCCCATAATGCATTTCTACTCATGTCTTCTCTCGATGATATATTACTTTCTTTGCTTTTTTTCTGTCATTTCTAAATGTCTTTCTGTCATTAAATGAATCGCATTGAAATTAATTAATATCAAAAACAGCAACCTTTTAATGATAAGTTATTGATTTCTTTTCGTTCCGTTAATACATCACCCACAACCTTCTCTCTCTCTTTTTTGAGTACTCTCTCTATTTCTCTGACATTCCGTTTCCTTTCCTCCCTCCCACCCTCTCGGGATAATAGTTCCACTTTTCTTATTTTCTTTCCTTTTCTCTGTCTATCGCTTTCCGCCCTCGTTTAAACTAATACACACTTGTTCACACGCTTATCTTTCCTTCTCTTTCTCACCTTCACGCACTCTCCTATCTCCTTTCTATCCACCAATTTCTCTACGCCCCACCCAATAAAATTTTGCATACCATTCGGAGTTCTTTACTTTTCTTCCTCTTACGCAGTACCATAGTTGGCTTTTCTTATGCCTCCTTTCATTGACCTCTTAGCTGATGTTGTTCCCAGGTCCACCATGAGCCTGGGTGGTAGCACCTGATAGGGTCCCGGAGCAGATTCTTTTTCTTGTTCCCGCTCACTTAGTGTTATACAGGATCATTCCTATCTCTCTTCTTCTTTAAGGAATATCTCTTGTCCTCTCTACTGAGTTCCATACTGGATCTTCCATATTTCTCTCCTTCTTCTCTCTCTTTTGTCCCTCTCACTCATTGCCATACGTGATGTTCCATATTTCTCTCTTTCCTTCACCATTCTTTCATTTGTTACCCCTCACTCATTGCCTTATACGACCTTTCACATCTCTCTCTTTCCTTAGGTAGATTCTTTCTATTATGCCCTTATTTACATACACGATCTTCCGTATCTTTCTTCCTTAAACAGTAGTTCTCTTGTCCCCCTCACTCAATGTCATACACAATCTTCCGTATCTCTCTCCTTTCTTAAGCAGTCTCTCTCTTGTCCCCCTCACTCAATGTCATACACAATCTTCCGTATCTCTCTCCTTTCTTAAGCAGTCTCTCTCTTGTCCCCCTCACTCAATGTCATACACAATCTTCCGTATCTCTCTCCTTTCTTAAGCAGTCTCTCTCTTGTCCCCCTCACTCAATGTCATACACAATCTTCCGCATCTCTCTCTTTTCTTAAGCAGTCTCTCTTTTTCCTCCCTCATTCGATGTCATACACAATCTTCCGTATCTCTCTGCTTTCTTAAGCAGTCTCTCTCTCTCTTTCCTCTCTCATTCGATGTCATACACAATCTTCCGCATCTCTCTCCTTTCTAAAGCAGTCTCTCTCTTGTCCCCCTCACTCAATGTCATACACAATCTTCCGTATCTCCTTCCTTTCTTAAGCAGTCGCCCTCTTGTCCCTCTCACTCAGTCACACACGATCTTCCATATCTCTCTCCTTTCCTAAGCAGTCTTTTTCGTCCCCCTCACTCAATGTCATAGACGATCTTCCGTATCTCTCTCTTTTAATCTTTTTTGCACTTTTTACTCGCATCTTTCTGCACCGCCACCGACCTTTGCCTCTTCAGATCACACTGCCTCCTCTTTCTTTATCAACCCTTTTTTTTCTTCTTTCTATCTTTCTTTCTTGATATCACAAATTGACTTTTTCAATCTGGGTCAACATTTAAAGTTGGATTAAAAAACGTTTTTTTATGAACTGAAAGTTTCCTTATTTCAATTTATTCATTTTTTGTTTTAATTAAAGACTTTCTTCGATTCTGCTTCCTGTCTAAGATTAATGGATATTTCGCGTAAAATATCTACTTGTTAAAACAAATATTCCATTGCTTTCTGGCGACAGAGGGTCGAATACATAAGCGAGTGCTGAAAATTTTTCGGCCCGATCCACTTCCCAAAAAACAACCCATATCTTGGAATCTGTTTTTGAAATTTACTCGACTCCTTCTTAGACACACACACACACACACACACACACACACACACACGCACACACACACACACACACACACACACACACACACATAGAAATTCAACCCCAATTCCAATCCTCAAAATGCTACACTTTTTTAATTAAAACAGGTCTGGACCTACATTATTCCAAATTTTCACTAACGATCAAAATATGTCATCAGTTCTGAACCCAGTGTCTATATTGATGACACACGTGTGTCCTAACGGTAAGACTGGTTGGCTCATAAAGGTCAAATTGAAAGCTGAGTTTTAAAAAAATGACCTTCAATCTGGTGCATGCCAAGTTTGAGCTTGATCGCGCCATTTTTCCTGCTGCTGTTACAGTGTAAACATGGCCGCTCCGGTAGCAGTGTGCACCAAAAAGGAACAAAGAACAGTGATCAGAATCTGCATGGGACATGCTACCTCATCGATGATGACCCGCCGGTTCGCCAGTACAATCTCTCGAGCTTGTTTAATTTTCTCGTCAGTGGTGGAGGTTGACTCCGTACGTCCGACTACTTTTCGATCGACTCATATAGACTTCTACGCGGTAGTGCACTGTCGTCGTATTGTGTTTAAAGACTCCGATGAATTTCAGACCATTCCGAGCACAGAAATCAGATCCCGCTAAACATGGCCAAGGCGCATACTACTAGTGGAGCGGTCATGTTTACACTGTTATAGTGTAGTAGTAATAGGTGTTGTGACGAAAGAAACAACTTACCCCGGAGATCTAAAGGAGCATGCAAAGTGCTGAAAAGAAAATATGGCCGCTCTTGGGGGCGCAGTTTATGAGTGCTTGTCTCGTCTCTACGAGACGGGAATTGCACATATGCAAATTCTGGCCTGCTTGAGGATACATAAGAAGCGAGATGCTAAGGGCGACGGGGGCATGTTTTTTGTTTGTTTTTTTTTGGTGGGGGGGGTGCAGATTACATTTCCTAGTCCGACGAGTGGATTGACAGGAAAAAGATGTTGAAGGAAACGCAATTAACTGAAAAGTGCCCAGTGTGTGGATGGCGAAGAAATAGCGCCCCAGAATGTATTTCCTTGAGGCGAGTGAGGAAGAAAAAGAAGAGTCGATCTGCCGGCGAACACCACACTTCATTTTTTTACCCCCCTCATTTATTTATTTATTGCTACAAATAGCAGAAAGAAAACTGGCGCGATCAAGCTCAAACTTCTATCACCTGACCACTATAATCCCAACTATAACTGCGCATGAGCAGAAGACAATGTGACAAACTAAAAATATGTTATGACGAAAGTTCGGATAATTTTTAACTTAGCCTCGTATATGTCTTAACATTTAATGTCTCTTAACTCTTCATTGCTCTTAAGATATACTAGCAGTATGGCCCGGCGTTGCCAGTGCTTGATTCAAAAATCGTACGACTCATACAGCAATCGCTATCACTTGACTTAAAATAGTTTTGCCCTTCCTTGCCTTTAAAGGAGTGCCCTTTGCCGTGCTGATGTTGTACATGCTTTACTTCTTGCCTATCTCACGCTACGAATTTTTCTAAGCTCTATACTAAACATTAAATCGGTTACGAAAAAAGTACTAAACAAAATGAACTCAAAACGATCAGCTTTAAAAAAGGACTCGGAACTGGAAAAACCGAATGAAAAAAGAATGTTAACAACAAATACTTTTTCACATCCAACCCAGTTCTGCGGAATCAGAATCAATGTTGAGTTTAAGCAAGTGAATGAGCCAATTGGAGTAAAGTGTCATGCAGATTTAATTTTTTCCCACTTGCGACGAATGCAGCTATCGATATTTTTGCATGCTAACATGCTAGTTAACATTCGTGTCAGTCAGCTGTTGGCCCTCACGCTGGCCAATAGAATCTTCCTACCTATTCGTGGCAGCCAGCTATAGTCTCTCACTCTGGCCAGTAGAAAATGGCCGCAAACTGCATGAAAACTGCCGTAGAAGCATGAAAAAATCGATTATTTCCACTATCGATGGGAGTTGGGAAATGCAAAATCGGTCATGGCCTTTCCGCTAACTTGCATGTAAATTTTGGTGCAAATCCGTCGAAAATTGCGGCCATGCATTCATTACACACACATCCTGCCTTTTATAGATATAGATTAATGGATTTTCCTTATGTGATAGCATAGAACAACTCCTATTTACATTTTATGTACATCGTCGAGAGACGATCGAGTAGCGCGGTGCCCTACGAGCCTGGACAGGATATATAGAGAACTAGGGCTGCACGGACGTCTAGTTCCCCCTCTCGGCCTTGCTAGCAGAGTCCAAAGGAGAGGATAAACCAATACAGTTTGGTACCAGCGCGGCTACAGGAGTTGCCGAAAGGTAGCACAAAGTGCCGTCCATCCGCCTTCGGGGCTTCACTCCGGATTTGAATTCAGAGTTGTTCTTCTCCTAGACCAGTTGCCATCCAAGGCTATAGAACCCAGTCTGTACTGCTATTTACCCATAGCTGGAGTTAGAAGAAGAGACTTCACACCTTTCCCAAGGGTATTAGCACGTAAGTGAATGTAATCAAGCCACCGTGCCAATATATATATATATATATATATATATATATATATATATATATATATATATATATATATATATATGTGTGTGTGTGTGAAAATATATAGAAAATAGGAAGGAACTGGTTAGGTAAATAATCCAAAGTCCCTTAGTATTTTAGTTATTATTTTAAAAAATAGTGCTCGATACAAAAGTAGAGCATAAATATAATTATTTATTTAAAATATGATTCCAAATCGCTACATAAGAGGTCTCATGTTTCAAAACTAGAGCCGAAAACTTCAATATTGGAACAAAAATTAAATTGAGTTGAAATAAAATGGGCTCATTTTCCATCCTCAACTCAATTTTAATTTGGAACAAAAAGGATTATATTGAAAGTTTTCGGCTCTAGTTTTGAAACATGAGACCTCTTATGTAGCGATTTGGAATCATATTTTTAAATAAATAATTATATATATATATATATATATATATATATATATATATAATATTACTGAGCGAAATTAATTACAGTAAAAGAATACTGAGCCGTTACGTGACATCTGTATTTCTCTACGGCAACGAATTTTGGACGATTTACTCAAAGATGAAGAAAACACTCGAGCTGAGGTAGATATGGTTCTACAGAAGGATGCTAAGGATAGCATGGACCAAGTGTTTGAGCAACGATGAGATATTAAAGAGGTTGCAGACAAAGAGGAGTCTTTCTGGGACACATAATGAGGAAGGGGTGTTTGGAAAATCTGACACTCACAGGTCGAATAGAGGGAAACAGAGACAAGGGAAAACAACGCGTGACATACCTGGCGAACTTAAGCAAGTGGATGACAGAACGTGGTCTTGGGGAGGAAGCAGAGAGAAGGAACTTGTTGAGAGCTGCAAGGGATAGAGGGAGGTGGAGAGCCATGATCGTCTACGCCCTGAAAGGACATAGCACATAAAAAAAAGAACTACTTGTATATGGTGTGTAGGAAGACGAACGCTTAGTAAATATTTTTAGCTAAAAAAAGCTTTATATAATGTAATATAACAATGTTTTACTGATACAAGTCTGAATAATTAATCGATAACTGGGGCGGGGGGAGAAGTGGGGAATTCCATGGACTCAATGTAGAAGTTTTAAAGAAGAAGACCAGAAGGTACAACGTACGAAACGTTGTGAATATGGCATTGAAGATGAGAAGAACAGGCTGAATAGTGTAAATAATGCAAGTAATCTTAATACCTCATCTCAGTGATACAATCACCTGAAGAAGGCCGGAGCGTACAATGGTCGAAACGTTGTGAATATGGGAATGAAGATGAGGAGAAGAGTCCAAATAATAAAAATAATGCAAGTAATCTTAATACCCAATCTCAGAGATAAAAGCACCTGAAGAAGGCCGGAGCGTGTACAATGGTCGAAACGTTGTGAATACGGGAATGAAGATGAGGAGAACAGTCCAAATAATAAAAATAATGCAAGTAATCTTAATACCCAATCTCAGAGATAAAAGCACCTGAAGAAGGCCGGAGCGTGTACAACGGTCGAAACGTTGTGAATATGACAACGAGAGCACCTCTTGCGACTGCTCGGTCTCACATTGTCTGCTGACCTGAGATGGAACAAATACATTGAATCAATTACTTCGTCCACCGCAAAGAAAAGTCGGCTCCCTGTACAGCGCCAGAAAATTTTTCTCGCCGGAGTCAATCATTCAAATCTACAAATCAACTATTTGGTCTTACATGGAGTATTTCTGCCATATATGGTCTGGAGCTCCTTCTGTTTGCCTCGAGGTTCTTGATAAAATCCAGAGACGGGTATGCAATGTAACTGGCCCTGATCTGGCATCTCGTCTGCAGTCGTTCTCTCACAGACATGCCGTTGCCTTCCTGTGTTTTTTTGACAAATACTTTCATGGTAACTGTTCCGATGAGTGGCTTTCGCGGTTTCATGAATTTAAGCGTTCAACTAGGCAGGCATCTCGCTCACACCAATTCACTGTCGAAACTGTTAAATGTAGCCGTCTCTTCTACTCCAATAGCTTCATGTCTCGCACCTCTAGCCTGTGGAACTCCCCCCCTCTTTCTGTTTCCCTGATAGCTATAATCCCCAACTATTCAGATGTAATGTCAATCAACGTCTTCAGAAGCCTTGATCTATCCCCTATCTTTCTCTTCATCCTTTCCTCTATCACTCCTCTTTGCTCTCGCTCCAACTCTCTGTAACCCATTGCGTGCTAGTGGCTTCCAACCTTGCTTGGGGTGAAACGCTTAAAAAAATGAAGATGAGTCCGAATAATGTAAATAATCATAATACCTAGTCTCAGTCACCTAAATAAGCCCGGAGCGTACAACGGCCGGAAAGTTGTGAATATGACAATGAAGATGAGGATATCAGTCCGAACAATGTAAATAATGCAAGTAATTATAATACCTAGTCTCAGAGATATAGACAGACAGTTTATCAAGATATCAGATATCAAATAAGAGTTAATGATTTGGTTATTCTATTTGAAACAACCACAACCTGTTTTATTGATTCGTTGTATTACACTTTAAATAAGAGTATAATAAAGTTTGATTAAAAATATTTTTTTATTAATCTACAAGTGCTAGGGTTAATTAACCCCAGCTTAGTCTTAACGGATATCAATGTTACTACCAGATATTTAATGTCAAAGACTAAATGTTGATAGTTATTTTTCTAACGTTCATCTCACATTGTTTAGTGTGATTCACTGAGGAACCTCAAGAAAATATAAACATTATCTTAAGGATTAAAAAAATATTATCTGACTTGACAGAAGGATTGGATTTTATATTTCCAATAATCATGTTAAGTGCCTTTTAAAACGGAAGAATTATTTTGGGGTTTTATTTCATTATTTTACAATGAAACATCATTTTTTTTCTTTTTTGTATAGTATCCGCCTATTCGTAAAAGGAAGTTTTGTTTTAATTCCTAGATACAGGAATTTAAGAAAAAAAGAAAGAATGATTACAGATTGTTTTTACTTCGATACTACAATATATCATTATTAATCAGTTGTTTCTTTATCGATTTGCGTTTTTACACCTCTTAATGTTTATCTTTTTCGTTGTTTTGAATGTTGAAGTTTAATCCAATAACAGACAATGATAGCTTTATGGAGTTATTTCTTTTTTCGATATCTTATTTTCGAAAATAAAACAATTATTCATTATTTACCTTATTCGGACTATTGTCCTCATCTTTGTCGCCATATTTATTACAACGTTTCGGCCTTTCAGTATCTATCGATATTTCTGTTAGATAGATAGATAGATAGATAGATAGATAGATAGATAGATAGATAGATAGATAGATATGAACAGGACTGCGATAGATAGATAGATAGATAGATAGATAGATAGATAGATAGATAGATAGATAAAAACAGACTGAGATAAATATTAACATATCTAGCTAGCTAGATAGATAGATATGAACAGAACTGAGATAGATAGATAGATAGATAGATAGATAGATAGATAGATAGATAGATAGATAGATAGATAGATAGATTTTTTTCCGTTAAGGAATGATGTTTTCTGCTTCTAGTTTCTCAAAGTCTTTTGAAAAAAAAACACCCTGGTAATTAAATGAATTTTCAAAAACTGAGTATTTTATCCTCGCTCTGAAAAGACCGCCACCCTCACCATATGCCTCCTTATTTCCTTTCTTCTTTTCCAGCAATTCATTTTTTTTTTTTTCGTCTTCTTTTATTTTGTACTAATGTCTCTCGCACAACTGACATATTCTTTCGCAGATGATTGGAAAATCAGGCGATTTTGGAAAAAAAAATGTAAGTCTTCGTAACAAATCCTGAACACATTTCCATCTTTAGATTGTTGAAATAACAAACAAAAAACAAAAATATGAACAAATGACAAATTGATTACAGGTAGTGTTTCAACGCTAGAAAACCTCCAGGGAACCTTTGTCGAAAAAAAATAATGGGATCTTGATATCTACTTAGCATGGTATGGCACTCGATCAAAACTAGTAATGAAGATGGTGTTACGCCAGTCTTTCTGAAAATCAGCATTTGGAATCTGCCGGGTTCTCAGGGTGACTTTCGAAATCGAAGTGATACATGTTGGAGTTACCTCCTCCTTAGTTCCCTAATTCTTCACCAGGGGTCTCTCTCTTTCTATAGTATAAATACTGGGAAACTTTTTGTCTCTTTCTCTTTTTCCTTCAGGCGATATTCAGTCACCCCCCAACTTTCTCCAATTATCTTCCAAACATTTTCTATTAGATTCAGGTCCACTTCATTAGGGCGATTCTTTCTTCTTCAAATAAAGCCTTTCTGAGCCATTCTGAGCCTTTTGGCAAGGTGCATGGTCCTGCATGAAAATAGGAGATTCATAATCTTTATGGTGTAATCTTGGTACCACATGCTGCTGAAGAAGCCTGTTGTAAATCTCAGCATTGATATTGCCATGTACGCGGATGATAGGGCCAACTCCTGTAGATGAAATCGTTCCCCACACCATCACACAGCCGCCACCAAACTTAACGGTTTTCTTGTCACATTGAAAAGACAGTCTTTCACCTGTTCTACGGCGTACGTAAGTTTTGCCCTCGGAACCAAATATAGTAAACTTGGACTCGTCACTGAAATGAACTGTATCCCATTGTGCGTCAGTCCAAACAACATGTTCTCTTGCATACACCAGGCGTGCCCTTTGGTTTCGCTTTGAAATGAGAGCCTTCGAAGCTGGAATACGGGCATGCAATCCTGCATTTTTTAACCTGCGAGCAACCGTTTTCCTTGAGATCTTATCATCTGTGTCTTCATTAAATTTACGGGCAATTGATGTAGCAGTTTCAAAACGTTTTTTTTTTTTTTTGTAGATATTCTAACAATTCTTCGCTCTTCTCTTTGCGATGTTTTTGGAGGTCTGCCGGTTTTTGGTTTTGCATCTAACGTTTTATCGGTTTTATATCTGCTAATTACACGATGAACGACACTTTTAGACCTACGAACAATATCAGAAATTTCTGAAACTGACTTTTTTCTTAATAGTTAGCGATAATGAGATTTTTCTCTTCAAAAGAGAGCGTTTTGCGTGTAGAATTTGCCCTATTGCTTAAAAATAAAGTCCTAATGATAAATGAATTTTTACTTATTGTTGAAAAGCTACATCAAGTTTTTTAACAATGTAAATTAAAAGTTTATGCAAATTATTAACATAGTTCCTTAACTTTTTCCAGTAGCTTATTTTCTTTATTCCATTTAATCTTTACTTAAAAAAAAATATTATGTCAATTTTTGTAACTTTGTATAATATTTATGCATTACACCCTAATCTTTATTTGGTAAAAATTTCATAGCTAATCATGCATTACTTTTTAAGTAATACACATATTTATGTCTTTGTTGTTTCCGTTCCTTATATTATGGCCGCTACTGTATATATATATATATATATGTGTGTGTGTGTGTGTGTGTGTGTGTGTGTGTGTGTGTGAAAAATATATAGAAAGTAGGAAACTCGTTAGGTAAATAATCCAAAGTTCTTTAGTATTTTTGTCATTATTTTAAAAAAATAGTGCTCGATACAAAAGTAGAGCATAAATATTATTATTTATTTAAAAAATTTTGGAATCATATTTTTAAATAATTATATATATATATATATATATATATATATATATATATATATATATATATATGTCTTGTTTGTCTTCTTTCATCTTCGGCTGGACAAATTAGGTGCGCAAATTTTCATGTAGTTGGATCTTTTTAATATTCTACCAGGAGTTACGCACGTGTTTCTAATACGACAGCACGTAAATACACACACTGTCCTCTACATATACATAATACATTTAAATCACTTTTCATATTAACCTCAACAATTGTATAGTGCCGTAACCAGGGCAGGCTATATCGATTTTGTTTCTGTTTCGTGTTAGACAATTTTGCTGGACAGAATCTATCTTACACATATATGAACCTACCATTCGTCTATTCATTGAATATTGCCGTCACATCTGACTTGTTGTTTCTACTATGTATGACCTAAATCTACATCCGACAATAGAGTCTCGACTAGGGGAGAGAATTAGGGTACCCCAAACCATTGTTGCCTACGGATGCTCTCTGGCTAAGATCTAGTACTTGTTTGCCCCCTACCAGGGTTATGGTATTTTTTTGGTGGGGGGATGTGAGGGCATGGATATGTGTGTGCGTGTGTGTAACTCAGACACTCTACTGGATCTGACTATATCGCCAATACTACCAGCAGCTTTTCCGTAATTCTTCAGTCTTCGATATCAAAGGCTGGCAGTGCATATTCGGGGAAAAACATGGCCGCCTTTATACACGTCGCATTGAATATTTTGAGCCTTCTGATTGGTTAACCCTTCTATTGGTGAACTATAAAATGAGTCAGCTCATTTTGGCTGGCTCACTATTACACCAGGGTACCCAAAAATTCCAACAAGTAGGTGGAGGGTCGCAGAAAAAGTGGGAAGGAGGGAAAGGAATTTTTTTTCTTTTCCTTAACCTTATGATTAACATGAATGGACATAGAGATAAGTGTAAGCAGAATATGATGTTTCAGTGCGTTTCTCTGTATGTGCGTGTGTATATATATATATATGTCTCGAGGGGGGATCAAATCAGTACTTACCACTTCAAGCCAAGCATGCTGCCATATTCCTGATCAGATAGAAAGTGTGGTTGTGTTTCCTTCCTTTATTTATGGAAGAGCGCACACTGCTGGTGAACAGGAAGTCGTCCACGATTGGACAATAAATTGCCAAGAAGAGTCGTATGGTGTGCATTTTGAACGATGGAAAAAGTTGTAGCTAACGACAGGTACACAAGTCAATACCCGATCAGTATCGTCTGGGTCACCGTGGAAAGGGCGTATGATGTTGAAAGACCCGAAACCCCTAATGAACTTCGGCTAGAAACATCACTTTTGCGGTGTTCGTAAAGCATTCAATAGATGTATTTTACGAAATGATAAAAATCCAAAGATGAATCTGCAATGTTAACGGTTCTGACCTGGTATCTCGGTTTCAGTCATTTACCCGCCGCCATAACGTAGTCTCCCTGTGCCTTTTCTATTATCTTGGTAATTGTTCTGATAATCTGTCCTCTTTGCTACATCGACTTATGAAGTTAAGCACAGTAAGAGACTGGAAGAAATCAGATCCTTATCATAGTAATATGTCTTTGCATAGATATCCCATCAATATAAAGCAGTATTTTATAAGTGTGTCTTCTGGCGCATGCGGTCAATGTCTGAACTTGTAATTTCAATATAGGGAAAATCGTCATGATTTCGTATCGGAAAGCAGTATGTTTCATTCAAATAGCTTCTTCCCGCCAACCAATGCTCCGTAGAACAGACTCCCAACTGAATGTTTCCACAATCACTGCAATCTTAACCTGTTCAAGTCAAGGGTTAACAGTTAAATCCACTAATCTTACTGTATATCATGAAGCTGGTTTTATTAAATGAATTATTTAAAGTGGAAACATAAGTTAGGATTCTAAGAATAATTATTTTGGGAATTGAATATTGTATTAATGGTTTTTAGAGACGAACGATTATTTCTAAGGGTGGAGATGGATTCATGCCTTTCCTAAGAGCCTTCCTTTTTCACCTCCAATCTTTCCTCTCTTCAACTTCTTTTCTCCTCTTCCCTTCGCCATTCTTCATCTTATTCTCTTTCTCTTTCAATTTGTTTGTCTTTATTTTGATGACTGAGATTATATATATATATATATATATATACAAATCTTTATATGGGCATTATCTATCTATCTATCTATCTATCTATCTATCTATCTATCTATCTATGAGTCTGTTCGTATCTATCTATCTATATCACTCAACCTACTATCTATATATTTATCTTACACAATCTAATTATATATGGATTACAAAACGTACTTCTATCTATCTATCTATCTATCTTACACTATCTGCTTTCATCTATCTATCTTTCACCATCTGCTTTTATCTATCTATCTATCTATCTATCTATATTACACTATCTGATTTTATCTATCTATCTATGTATTTATCTATCTGTCTTACACTATCTGCTTTTATCTATCTATCATTCTGATTTTGTTTTATGCTTTTGCAATCTGCTTTTATCTATCTATCTATCTATCTATCTATCTATCTATCTATCTTACACAATCTGCTTATATTTATCTATATGTCTATTTTACATACTCTGCTTTTATCTATGTATCTATCTCCATCTTTTCATCTATCTATCTATGTATCTATCTATCTATCTTACACAGCCAACTTATATATATCTATCTATCTTACTGTACACAATCTGCTTATATCTATCCATTTATATTACACAACGTACTTATATCTATCTATCTATCTATCTATCTATCTATCTATCTTACACAATCTGCTTATATTTATCTATATGTCTATTTTACATACTCTGCTTTTATCTATGTATCTATCTCCATCTTTTCATCTATCTACCTATGTATCTATCTATCTATCTTACACACCCAACTTATATATATATATATATATATATATATCTTACTGTACACAATCTGCTTATATCTATCTATTTATATTACACAACGTACTTATATCTATCTATCTATCTATCTATCTATCTATCTATCTATCTCTTATTCTCTTCTTCATTCTGCCTTTCTTTTTTTACCTCCACTCTTACCTCTCTTCACTTCATCGTCATTTTGATTCCTCCTAAACTCTTTTATTCTTCTTCTCCAGCCTCTCCAGTGTCCTCAATTTTCTCTTCTTCATTTTCTTATTCTTCGAATCGGCCTTCATCATTCTCTTCGGGTTTTCATTCTTCTCTACTGACACTGATCAAAACCAATGCCAGAACTCGCCGAGATCAGTAATGAAGCTGACCTGTCGGTCACGTGATCAAATTGTCCTGATTTGCTGTTTTCTCTCTCATCCTCAACAACAACAACAACAGCAACAACCATCACTTTTCTCCCCCTAGTCGACAAGAAGTCACACGCCCTAACCCCCCCCGATTTGCCTACTAGGCCCCATGGCGTTCGACCCACGAAACTCCAAATGAACGTGGCACGCGGTGTGCAACCAACCGGAAATAACTTGCCCATCTTGCCTATCGTGCCCTTCCGCTTTGAATATAAAGAATTATTATTCAGACACAGCAAGTGCTGAGTTAAAATTTTGGAATTTCCCGTGTGGACGTTTCGTGTCGCTGCCTCGCCAAGCCTTTCGCTTGGCTGTTGTTCTTTTTTTTTAATTCTTTTGATTTTGTTTTATGCTTTCCTCATATTCAGTTCAATTTTGTAGATGTTGAAGTTCTTTCTATTTCTGGCTTAATCTCCATTGCATTCACTTTCAATTTCTTTGTCTTCCTTATTGATGACTGAGATTCTATTTATATACATATATACCAATCTTCCTATTTATGTGCATTATCTATCTATCTATCTATCTATCTATCTATCTATCTATCTATCTATCTATCTATCTCAGTCTGCACTTATCTATCTATCTTACACAGGCTATATATATATATATATATCTTTCACAAACTATTTATATCTATCTTTCAAAACCTACTTATATCTATCTATTAAAATCTATATACTATATATCTTCTCATCTCTGTCTATCCAAATCTATCTATCTATCTATCTATCTATCTATCTATCTATCTTACTGTTTAGGGGCCAGAAAGAAAAACACGGAAGACGAAGGTAGGTTGAAAAATTATATTGAAGATATATACAAACCAATAGTGTTAGTAATAAGCAGGTTAGCATTGCGTATACTACTCCACTTCACTTCACAGTCTTCACTCTTCCCGACTCTCGCAGTTTGTATTTATGAGAGGAGGAAGAGTTCATTCTACTGTAGGAGGATTTACAACAACACTTGCACAACCTACTATCTATCTATCTATCTATCTATCTATCTATCTATCTATCTATCTCACTCTGCACGTATCTATCTATCTATCTATCTCACTCTGCACGTATCTATCTATCTATCTATCTTATACAAGCCACTTATATTTATCTTTCACAAATTACTTATATCCATTTTCAAACCTACTTATATCTATCTATTAAAATCTATATATCTTCTAGTCTCTGTCTATCCAAATCTATCCGACAGAAGATAACATTTGACATCACATTTAAATTTTTCGTGAAAATGGCCAAGTAAAGAGGTCAAACTATTTCACTTCAATGTAATCTCATTCCCTTTTATATGTAGTCATTTTTGCCAGCAGTAAATATCTTGAGAAAGGCCTTAACAATAGCGAAATCGTTTTTTTTTCTTATTGCATGATACGTGGAGGGAAATTAGGCATTACTATGTACCACTTTTCTGCCTTAAATATCTAAACATTGACTCGATCAGCTGCCATATTTTCGCTCTCTTTACTGAATTTAACTTAGCTACGTAGTACATCAGTTTAAAATTGAAAAGATTATTATCCCTCTGGACATGATTTGTTATTTTATTTTCAATCTTTCATCGGATCCCAATTAATATGGCCTTGTTTGCTTAACTGATTTTATAAGTACACTACACTTCAAAAGTTTGAAGCCACCCCCAGAATTAGCATGGGATGAACTTCAAACAAGTGTGAGAAAAAAAATGAAAAAGAGCTCTAAGAGTTATTGAAAAAATAATGGAATCAATTATCAAACTTATCCTTTGAGAAACTTTGCAGTGAATTTCAAAAAATCATGCTGAATTAATCAAGGCTAAAGGAGGATATTTTGACGAGAGCAAAATTTAATCATGAAATATTTTCTTTCATTTTGTCATAATAAAATTTCTAATAAAAGATCATGTCTCAATTTTTTAAACCATGTATAATAATTTTCTCTTATTTAAAGTACAAAACAACTATTTTGGCGCCAATTTAAAAAAAAATTACCTGGGGTCACCTCAAACATTTGAACTGAAGTGTATATATGTACCGTCGTATCTAGCGATAAGAAAGGTTCAAGATGCATTTAAAAAATGAAAGTTCTTTCTTGAAGTTCTTGTTTTAGTTTTATCTCCAAAATAATAGATTAGATTTAATATTTTCATTACGCAATATAGTTGCCTGTATTTCAAACCGTATTTAATTTTTTTTTCTTTTAGCCACGAATAATAATTTTCTCTTACTTAAAGTACAAAACAACTACTTTTGGGGCCTATTTAAAAAAATATCTGGGGTCCCCTCAATATTTTGAACCGTAGCGTAAGCTGCGCGACTTAAGTTTCTCTCATTTGTTACTTTCTTGCATTGACACATATTTCCAGAACTCAGAATCGATCTAATTCTAGAACTATTTGCGAAACGTGTTAACTGCTGTTTCACAGTAAGGTAGTTTAATATTTATAATCGTATCAATAAGATTGATTAATTCGGGGTCCCTAGTAACGATCATTATGGATTGAACAGTAATGATCTGACAATATCCTAACCACAACTCCACAGCAAAGTGATTTTTTTTTTTTTTGAGTAAAGATATTTACTAAAGCCACACGAGTCTGGAACAAGGCCAATTATATAGGACATTCGACGAGAATAGTAGTGATTTGCCAGACAACTTGCTAATCAATGCTTCATGGCAAGATGCCGAAGTGTTTATAATTGTATCTCCTCAACAATGACAAGATTCTTCGTGTCAATATGGGCTTGGAGCAGAAAGATTGGCTGATTATGATTATGATGGCACGACTTGGTTGGAGGCTTAACTACTTGTCTTCCTCTTATTTAGTATCCTTACCGAACGCCATCTTTTGGCATCGGATCACCGACGCTGCGATATGGTTCGTTAACTCGTCTGATTCCTGCTGCTTTAGTCTTTCAATGAACCCCACCCACCGCCATCTTTTGTTTTCGCACCTTTTCCTTTTCGAAACCCGCCACCTTTTGTTTTCCGGCCCTGCCACAGACATCACCCGCCGCCGCCAGCTTTTCCATTTGCTTATATCTGAATCACCGTTTTGCTTTGATATACAGATAAGCAGGCAGACTTACACTCAAAACTTTCATTCCTTTTCTCTCTTTCTCCATGCACCGGTTGTAACAGCAAAATTGCCCAAATCGTGTAATAGCATGTGATAATGGTCCATCCCCAAAACTGTTTAATATTTAAAAAAAAACAAAACACTAAACTAATTAGGTTTCTTTTTTCAAGGTTTGCAGATAAGACGTTTAATCATCTTCATACTATTTGTCGTAAGAATCACTGGAAAAAAAAACCTTTGAGTTATTCAGCTAGAAAGAGGACAGGTTAAAATCGTTTTGTGTCAGCCTCACTATGTCTTTTCAACTGAGCAATGGTGAGAGGAAAAATATAATTCAGGCCTTCAGTAATGGTAGCAAACATTTATACTCTGGCTTCCATCTTCAAAGTCCATTCAAGAACCATCAAAAGAACGGTGAATAAGTTTAAAAATGAGGAAACAGGAGAGAGGAAAACTGGATCAGGAGGCCACAACAGCAAGACAGATCAAGATGTCAACTTAGAGCTACAGAGCTCAATTAGAAAAGATCCAACTCAATTCATAAAACGTTTGGCATGTGACAGGTGAGTTTCCGTTATGGCAGTCTAAAGAAGATTGAAAAACATGTGAAGCATCTTGTTACTCCAGAACAAAAAGTTAAGTTAAAGAGGGTGAAGATCATCTTGAATAAGTTGGAAAATGATCCTAGAATATATATATATATATATATATATATATATATATATATATATATAGACACAGACAGACAGAGAAAGATGTGTATGTTTGGTTTGGTTTATTTTGTTTTACGGCATCTAAACCTCAGTGGGTTATTTAATGCCGACAAAATTTTTAGGATTGATTCGTATGAATAGAATATATATTCTTTGGTTTAGATTGGTTTGGTTTATTTTGTTTTACGGCATATCAACCTCAATGGGTCATTTAATGTCGACAACATTTTTTTATTGCTGGTAATGTTTTGTTTTGTCAAAAATCTGTTTCTGGTAATATTTTTCCTTCAAAATTGTATTGCTGCTAATAATGTTTTTTCAAAAAGTATTGCTGGTAATAGCTAACTGTTCACCCTGACCCTAACAGGTGCTACCACCCTGGGTCAATGTGAACCTGGGAACATCAGCAATTAAGAGGTGGTTCCACGCTGCTCAGAACATCCTGATCAGAGGACTTGCTACTGAATGTAGTTTATCATCTTACCCAGGACGCGGATATAATTTAACCTCTTACACAGAACGAAAAAGATATATATATATATATATATATATATATATATATATATAGAGAGAGAGAGAGAGAGAGAGAGAGAGAGAGAAGGATGAAAACATATATATATATATATATATATATATATATATATATATACACACACACACACACTGGGTGTAACTGCAAAATTGTCCAAATCACATAACAGCATGGGATAATTGTCCATCCCACAAAATATTTGCTAAACAACCACTGTTTCTTTTTACTAGGTTTTCAGGTAAGACATTTAGTCACCTCAACACCATTTGTCATAAGAATCACTGAAAAACCCTTTGTGTTATTAAACTTAAAAGAGAACAGGTTAAAATCATTTTGTGTCAGTTCCACAATGTCTTCTCAACTGAGCAATGATGAGACAAAAAGGATCATTCAATCCTTCAGTAATGGTACCAATATTCATACTCTGGCTTTCATCTTCAAAGTCCATTCAAGAACCATCAAGAGAACAGTGAATACGTTTAAAAAAGAGGTAACAGTAAAAAGAAAACTGGATCAGGAGGTCACAACAGAAAGCGGGATCATCATTTCAAGTTAGAGCTTATTGTACAAAGTAGAGACCAAAAGTTTTATAAAAAAAACTCGGAGAATTCCAGTCAGATATCATTAATCATTTCTAAAATACAACGGTTCAAACCTTAATCGAACAACTGAAAATTTTTACTGTGACAGCCGGTATATATATATATATATGTGTGTGTGTTTGTATATATAAGGTTTTTATTATTATCATGATGTGCATAAGGCGATGCTAGAAATAATTACTTAGAAATAATACTTACAATTTCTAAATATTTGGATATTATGCAGATATTTTTGCAAGGGTTTAATCTTTGCATGGTTTAATTTTCCTATAAGTTAAAGACTATAATTTTGAGATTTAACATAATAATTGAATGAAAATGCGAGACTCTCTCTCAGTATATATATATATTAATTATTAGGACTCATAATTATTTGGGACTCATCAGCAGTGCGCATCCACTACTGAGAATTGAAACCCTGACAGTTAGGCTGTCAAGCAAACATCATACCAACTGTTCTATTAGGCCTCGGTGACGAGGAGATTGCAAATCAGACTCAATACAGCGCCGCTCGCTCACATATTCCGTGGTGGAACCATACTGCATTCTCTGTAACCATAGGACGGTGCTCCCTGAAGCCACGACTACTCTCACCAAGCCGCTCCAACTGGAGCATTAGAAGCCGGTTCAAGCGATGATAAACACAGATAGTAATTATTAGAACAGTTGGTATGATGATTAATTAAATATAATTATCAAATCCTCCTAATAATATTAATAATACTGCTTCCCACTAACTTCTAATGCTTTTATTTTTCAGAAATCAAATTGTCAAACAAATGAAAATGAAAAGACATACTGTGATTGTGGCATTAAAGGCTGATCATAGAGATTTGGATATTGCACGTTTCCTCAGAGTTGCAAGATCGTTCGTCCACAAGATACGAAAAGAGTTAGAAGATGCTGACAGTTCCCCAATGTCTGTACCAAAACGTAAAAGACATTCTGCACGTTCTGATAAAGTGAGAACATCCGAATTTATTCAGGAAGTCATGCAGACAATTGATGAAAACGGAGGTCAACCAATGAGGTCAATTGCCAAAAACCTGCATGTGTCTGAAAAAACCACACTTTTTTTCCACAAGGTCTTAGAGTAAATGCAGCTGCTTACATTCAGGTTCTAGAAACAGTTGTCAAGCCTTGGGTTGAGTGTATAGAAAAAGATTAAAAAAGATTTAAAATAATGGAAGTTTTAATAATAAAAAAGAAAAAAAACAACTCTTAACAACTAGGAACAAGGCCAA